ATGAGGACCTAATGCCGGGGGTTTAAGTGGAGAGAAAATGTTTTGAGAACGATGAGGGCAATAAATGTACAAATGCGCTGCACCCAATTGATGTGTGTATGGATTGTGATAAGACTTGAATGAGCCCCTAATAAAATGATTAGGAATAAAAAGAAGACTGTTAAATGGCAGAGATGGATTGGTGTTCTTCTCTCCATTACATGAGATACTGATCCAAGCTGAGGAGAGGCTTCCGCTGCAGAACTGGCTATTGAGATGGACAAATTCCACTTCATCGACTGGGAGGCCAGATTAGACAAGTACGAGACCCGAGAACAAATGGGGGGTCCTTTGTTTTCAGTTTGTCCTTATAATAGTGGCTTCATACAATATCTGTCCTTTTGTGTTTGACTAACTTTGCTCAGCATACTGGCTTCCAGGCTTCTCCATATCATGAGCTCTTTCATGGTCTCTTGTTTCTTAGATGAACAGTTACTCCATTGTGTATATGTCAGACTTGCTTCATCTTCCGCTGGTCGGTGTTTGCGCTGTTTGCAGCTTCTTGTTACTGTGACCTGTGTTGTGATGCACATGGGTGAGCACACATTTGTTTGTGTCTCTTACTTCTTTGAGGAACATGCTCAGCAGAGGTATTCCTGGGCTCCACTGTATTTCTATTCCTGGTTATTTTAGGTCATTCCACATCACTTTCTAAAATAGCTTACAAGCCCACTAGCAGTGTATAATTGTTTAAATCATCATCAGAATTGTGTTTTTCTGAGTTCTTCTATCTTCTGTTGTTCTATGTTTTGTTTGTTTTATTTGTTTTCTGTAACTCTCTCAATCTTTCCCTTGATCTGTTGGAAGCAAGTAAACACCATTTTTCTGTATTCACGCATGATAAGAATGCAGGTCTGTAATTCGTTACGGCTTTGTACCATCCTAATTTCTTTTCTTGTACTTATTGAGAATTCTTGCTGCTGTTTTTGAGACAGTATTGTTTTTATGTTTGTTTCTGTTTGTTGTTCATGTGATCTTAGGGTGGGCATTAATCACTGGGCACTAGTTGTAGCTTTGAAGGTTTTCCTCATGGCTGGGTCATACGGTGACAACCAAGTCCAAAATCTGATTGTTTACAAACAGAACAAATAAAGACAATTATACAAAAACCCATTTGAATAACAGACCTACCAAACTCTTTCCCCTCCATTCACATGCATGTAGGATTTAACAGAAAAACTAACAGGCCAATAAAACAAAACAACACAACCACCACCCACCCAAATAAAAAAACCTAGAAAAACACCAATCCTAATGTTAGTGTTGTCTGATGGAACCTCACGGCCCCTCTGAGATTCCCCTCTGTTGTTGCCCAAGAATGTTGGCAATGACCGAAGCAGCAATTCTTTTAGAATGGCTACGTAGGCAAAGGAAGTCAATTTCGGAAAAGCCCAGCTCATTTTTCTCCTATTGCAGGTCTAGGTGTCTGTTTCTTCGTTCTAGCCAGGCATGCGAGTTGGACTGAGTATCAAGTCAGTGAGCCAGTTGGGCTTCTTCTTCACCCCTGGGGTTGTGGAGGGGAAGCTGATACGTGTCAGATTAGTTAACTCCTATTAGGTGGTCCTGTGTAGTTCACTTTTCCTCCAGGCAAGTTCCCTCTTCGAGGAATGTCATGGAGGAGGTGTGGTACCTCATGGTTTTAGATGAGATTGGGTCTTTCCAGAGTCCTCGCTCTGTGTGTGTGGAGCAAAGGCGTGTTCAGCCTTTTCCAGTCCTAGTCCAGGTGATCAGAGCGAGCAGGGATCCCCAGGAGGGCCCCGTTGACCTGTAGTGGAGAGTCAGCTGTCTGTGGGACGACTGACACAGACCCTTCCCGACTTTACAGACCTTGTCTAGTCCACTCCTATATGCTTCCTGGGGTTTCAGAGCCAGCCTTTTGTCCAGGCTTGTCTCCATTTCTGGTTTTTTTTTTCCTGTTCTTTTTGCTATTCTTTAATGTTTCATAATATTCCAATATGTTTATGCAACAGTTTTTCATTCATTGATTCATTCATTTTTATTCATTCAGCAATTTCTTGTTTCCATCTCCTTTCTATTGTGAATGATGCTACAGTGAACATAGATACTCATGTATTTATCTGTGTTTCCACTACTTTCTTCAGGATATATACCTAATAGTGAGATGCTGGATCTGGTGTAACTTCTTTTTAAAATTTAGTAAATTTTGAAATTTTCTCAATTTGAGGAGGGTGGAGTGGGGTAATTTCTTAATTGTTTAAGAACAATAAAAATTAAATAGCTCTATAATAAATAAAATAATTTGAATATATTTAGTAGGAATCAATTGCTGGAAGTGGGTATGTAGGTAAATAAATAGAATAATGTAAAAATAAGGAAAATGTTTACTCACATGTTGTGTATCTCTGTATGTGAGTATCTTACATTTAGCCTGCATGATAATAAACATAAATATCTACATATGTATTTATATCTCTATGAGGGTAAGCCAAAAATGTATTTCTAAATGATCACAGAAATATTTTTAACCAAAGACATAAACAGGTGAAACTAGTGTTTCTTGATATAGCCATCTTCCATATAATTATATTTACTTTGAAAGCTGTGCTCCCATCTCCTAAACACCCCTCCTCAAAGCATTCTGTGGCATTCATTTTACACCATGTCAAAGCAGCAGTTTGAGCATCCTCATTACTCAGACTGTGTTGCTTTTAAGTGAACGTTGAGTTTTGAAACAAAAGATATCTGAAGATCCTGACAATGGGATAGGTGAGAGATCCCCAGTGAAAGTCTCAGAGGTTAAATGCATGAATTAATTCTCCTTTAAATCCTTTCAGCACCCCATTCTCATAAAAATCCATGAAATTAGACAATACTTTGATATTTGGATGATAAACACCGGCTTGATTGATAACCTCCACTAGGATATTGCCAATCCCAGCAGAAAATATGAACAAGAGACACTGTTGCTGTAGCTTACTGAAGAAATCTTCATACCCTTCCTTGAGCATAAGGACAGACTCTTCCACAATCTCTTTAAGTTTAGTTTTTGGTAACGCTTGTTCAATAAGCAAACCATGCGCCTTAGTATACCATTCGCCCATATACGGATACCTTTCATCTAAAGTTAGAACAGGATCAACTTCTATAGCACAGTATTTTTCCTTCAGTTGCAAAAACTTTTTACAATATTCATCTGTAACCAGTTTACAGTTTTCAATGACATTAGGACACATTGGGCATCTCTTCCCTGTGTAGGAAAATCGACTTAGTGTCATATCAAAGTCTGTTATTATCTGAAGTTTAGCAGCTCCTCCTTTCATAAGACCACAGATAGTTTCTTTTACTCTTGTAAGGCTCTTGATGTGAACAGAACTTTTCTGGAATTCTGGCATCTCAGCCCCACTTGGTGGTCCACCTGGAGAGAGGGGGAAGGGAAGGAGGACAAGGGGCAAGGGAAACAGGGGAAGAGAGGGAGCCCAGGAGAGGTCAAGTCAAGGGAGGAGCCGAAAGAGAGAGAGAAAGAGGGAGAGAGAGAGCGAGCGAGAGAGCGAGCGAGAGAGCGAGCATGACGGTGCCTTGAAGAACACAGAATATTTCAATCAGCTAAAAGACAATAGCAACATAATTCTGTTAGTAGACTCCCAAGGAGACTTATGAATGGCAGATGGAGTAGCCAATGTTGAACACATTCTGAAAATTGGATATCCAAATGACAGAGTGGACGAGCTTTTAGAAAAGTACATGGACTCTTACGATATTGTTTTAGTAAAAGAAGAGCCATTGGAACTAGCCAACTCTACCTTACAGAAGATTCTATAATATACATTCATCAGGAAGCCCTCTCCCGCAGGCGTAATGGATGCAGAAACGGCGTATCTGTTCTTGCGCTGAAAGACTATTTATAACATCTGCTTGCTCTTGATCGTTTCCCTTACAGAAGTATGTTCAGACATGTCGACTTCATCGACTGGAAGTTCCTTTCTCTCTTTCTCACAACACACTCCCCACCATGTCTTGTTGTTTTGTTTTTTAACACATTTTTAAAAATCTGAAAGCAAAAATAACTCCCTACTTTGCCCAAGTGGACTTTGTAATTGAGTTTTATTATGGATCTTTGGGGAGAGGAGTCTTTATAGTGGGAAAGTTCCTGAACATTTTTAAAAGTTTGTCGAAAGGGTGAAATAATGCATATAATTGGAGTGAGTGATGCTATCACCATCTCCTGAAATTGTGTGAAAACTAGTGATTTCGTTCGAGAGAGGAATAAATGCTTACCAGGAAAGATTGGCAGTTGGTGTGAGGTGAAAAAACTCCCAGTGTCTGCATGTCACCAGTCATTACAAAATGTTCTGTATTGAAGCACTGATAATAAACATGAGATGGGAAATCTTTAAAAAAAAAAAAGAAAAAGAAAGTCTCCAAGGTGAGCAGGGGCATAGTTCCATTGGATTTAAACAATTCCTCAGTTTACCTTTTCTACACCTTTGTCTTCACCATGCAGTTTACACTTTTCTTAGCATATCTTTTTTTTTTCATAAACCCCTGTGGTTGTTGTTTGCATTTTAACAAAATATTTCAAGATTACTATTCCCCCAAACACTCATCATTAACCTTCTAAGCTAACCTCACTGACTTGGCTTTGCCTGGCCCAGTAGGTTCCCTTGGAAGTCACTCTTTCTATTTGACATTTTTTAGTGTTTTAAATGCATCACACTATGACTGAGACAAGTGACAACTGGGGCATAGTTGTCCGGAGCAAACACATTTTGTTTGGAACTGCATCTATGAACTGAATCCACAGTAGCAAAATGTTTTGCTTGCACACACACACACAGACACACACTGAGGATTAAATAAAATCTGTAAAAGTTACTCCTCAAAAAAAAAAGCTACTCCTCAATAAGAAAACTATTAGTATAGAAATGTTAACTTTAAATGAACTAATACATATATAATGTTATTCATAATTTGAGAAATGTCATAGCCACTATTTTATAGCATCTTATACTTACATAATTTGCTAAGACCTCATCTAAGTTATTTACTGTATTGTTCATGTTCTGCACAAAAATGTCAGCAGATGTCATAGTCTATATAAATGACAACATGTATTTAATTGCGAACAAATTCAGACATTAACTTTTGGCAATTCAAAATTGAATATATTTTACTAATGCAGTAAAGACAATGTATAATATTTAGAAATTGTTATTAAAATAAATAAAGCATATATGTTTGGTGAACATATTCTCTGTAGGGAAAAGAAAAACCAAAAGAAAATAAAGCATTGGATCTATTTTCTCTAATTAAAGGGGGGGAAAGCAGCAAAATGTGAGACCCATGAAGATTTATAACCCAGGACCAAATGCTGAAGTAGATAAATGAGTCAATTTAGCCAACGTTTTACCTATTTCACATTAAGGTTCATATTCATCAATAACATCCAATAAATCTAAGATAAACCATAACTTGGAAGAACACTTTTTACAAGTGCTTGCAAACTAAGTAAGTGTTACTTCATTCATAAATTAGGTGAAATATGTAATAAAATTAACTCTGAGAAGCCGGATTTTTGAAATATTTAAAATGATGGCTTCTGGTTGGATTGTGTTACTTGGGTTTCTTTCTACTTTCTGTGTCCACTTATGAAACATCACTGCTACATTGTCAATTCTGAGTGTGCAATATTTTTCATGCTGGCTGCATGATTTTGATTTTATGTGGTATAAGTGTGTTTTAAAGTTGGGTTTGAAAGTTGAACATAAGGTTTAATGTAACTTCTTCACTTTTTGTGGGTTTTTTGGTGACTGAATTTGTAGTAAGACCTTCTCCAATAATCAGTCATTGTTCAGCTACCATTTCTGTTAACCATATATTGGTAACAAAGACTTTGCACCTATTCCTCACTTATCAACTATATTATTATCAAAAATTTCATTTCATAGTACTGAAATATTTTGGAAATTCTATTCTCCATCTATTCTGCACATTAACAACATACACCTGCCAATAATAACCAACAAGATGTGAGGCCAGAGTCACACTGGCTGTGATGGTTATGGTGATGGATCAACCTGGCTAAGTCATGATTCCGTTGTTTCATAGTTATATAATAACTAATCATCTATTTTTGTCATCCAAATTGGTCCATATTCATTTTTGCATAATGCCTATTTTTGCACAATGGCCTGGCCTTTAAGACCAAATATATCAATAAATAAGAAATAGGTATAAAATTGGATGCTCACAATAAAAAAAAAACAGTGGAGATTCCAGAAACCATCAGGATGAACTAAAGCAGTGATTATTATGTATGTTTGTGTATAAGAAAGAAAAGGAAGTGTTTAGAACTCAGTATTGAATTCTCTTTCCCTCTGTATTTTAATGGATGGATGAATGTTTGGCTGCCAACTAAAACGTCCACAGTTACAATCCATCTTTCCGTAGTCATGGAAAGATGTGGCAATTGACTTCTTTAGAAATGCCTACTCCTAGAGACCCTATGGGGAAGTTCCACTGTACCATATAGGGTCAGATTCTATGAGTTGGAATTGATTCTATGGCAACAGGAATAGCTTATTCACAGCACAGGATTTTCAGATTTTGAAGCAAACTTGCCATCCTTGGCAAATAATCTTTTTTCTTTTGAGACATAGCTTTTGACTTGCTACTGGGCCTTAGTAGAGATTGATGCCCTCACCACAGACTACCAAGTTATTATGTAACCAGAGCTGCCCAAATAATCTGATATTGCCTAATTTACAAAAGCATCCATGCATGAAGATGTATATGAGATTGGCCTGGAGACGGCCTTGCTGGAGCAAGAGTCCCACTACCCATTGTTTCTACTCCTGGTGCAGTACCTCTGTCTCCCACCAAAACCTATGGTTTTATGAGGTCTACACTACTATTGGTAAACTACAGAGGAGAAAACCTGGACTAATTTATAGACAGTAATTTCTATCTGCTATGTAGACATCAATCAAGTGAACAGCTTTGGTATTGCAGCAAATTTATGGGACAATGGTGAAGGGAAATTCTTCGATTGGGCTGAAATTTGAGCACTGAACTTATTGCTTAGTTTACTTGGGAAGAAGAATGTCTCGACAGGTTATTGTAAAATGATTTATGGAGTGTGGCTACTTGTATGGTTGAAGGGTGAATTACGTGGGAGAGGGATTATTGGGAAATAAGTGACAAGAGTTTTCAAAAAGAGTTATGTGAATAGAGCAATTCTGAGTGAACAAAAATTTAAACTATTTGCATCCTATGTTAAGGACCAAAGTGTGACATCATCAGAAAATTATTTAAATAATCAAGTGAATAGAATCATGTATTCCATATACACCAGTAAACATCTTTCCCCAATCGCTCTTGGCATTGCTCAATGAGTTCATGAACAAAGTAGCCATGTTATCAGAGATGGGCTCAGCAATATGGACTTTAATTCACTAATGATGACCTGGCTATAGCCACAACTGAATGTCCAATCTTCCAAATGCAGAGATCAGCACAGTGCCCACAATATAAAACCATTCCTTATAGTGATCAACCAACAGCCTGGTGGGTGGTTGATTATACTGGAGGGTTTCCATCATTATAAGGACAGATTTTTTTTCTTATTGGAAAGGACACTTAACTTGAATTCTATTTATCTTTCTCAACATGTAATACGCCTGCTAAAACTACCATCTAGCACTGATAGATTGTCCTATTGAATGTAATATTCCATATAGCTCATCTTTAATCAAAGAATTTACTTCACAGCAAGTGGATTGGGACAGTGGGCCTATGCTCCTAGTTTAATTTATTTGTTATACCACTCTTTGTCATAATGCAGATAGCTTGATACAATAATGAAATTGATTTTTGAAGTTTCAGTTAAGGTTCAGGCTATGTGTCCACCTCTGGAGGGGTTGGAGCAATGTACTCCAGTGTCCCATATACAGTGCTGCTTTCTCTATTACTTAGGTTCATGGGTATAGACTCTAATCCATGGATCAAGGGGTGTGGTGACACCATTATTATTAGTAGTACTCTACTAATAAGATGTTTAATTCCCATCTGAATGAACTTATTCTCAGCTTGTCTATAGACTCTTGTTCCAAAAGGAAGACTATGTGCACTATGAAATTCAATTATGATTCTATTAAGCTGGAATTAAAGACTGTCACCTGGTCATTGAGGCTACTCATTTTAAGACTAGGATGCACTGACCTACAATCCAGCGGAAAAAGCAATCATTATCAAGGGAAAATCTCACAGAGAGGAAAAACTTAGATGGTCTCCTGACTAGAAAATAAGTTGGTGTATTATAGAAACGAAAAGAATAATTTCCTCCAACTCTTTCCATGAGACCATGTGCTTCATGTGAACACCAGTGCTTTTTTAG